AAGTACCATGGCTGCCCACATCCTTCATGATCAAAAGAAGTCGAAACGCCGAGGTGATCCCAAAGGGGGCCTACGAAATCCCCATCTGAATCCGCTGCCACTTATTCTCCCTGAAAACACCACTCTCGTCACTAGCAGCGTCTTGGTGTGTGTACACTATATTTTTCTTCTTTTCCTTCTTTTTTTTTTTAATCTTTCTATTCCACACATGAGGGGGATGGGGGGAAATATGGGAAGAAAATATAATATGGGGAAATATACATAATGGTTTTTATGTAATTCTCAAACAAGGTTGAAAAAGAGAAAAACAAAAAAATAACTGTAGTCAATACTATGACACAAAAAATTAAAATACATTCAATACTATGTTGCAAATCCATCAGTCACAAAGAAATTCTTCATGGTTCTATTCTACAATTGCTACACGCCATAATTTGCATACGTCAACCATTCCACTTTCCATTTTCATTCCTTATTCAAATAGTGCAAATGAAAAATACATGACCTTAATTATATTTTTTATAGTGTAATAGAATTTATCTATATCAGTGTATTTTAATTATTGGAATTATAGCGTACATCCAACATCAAAGGGAGTCTATTGCAAAGAGAGAGATGAGGGAATAATGTTCAGAAGGAAAGATGGGTGGATAGATAAGGAATAAATGAAGAAGAAAGAGATAGGGAAAGAGTTAAGAGACAGAGAAATAGAGAAAGAGAAAGCAAAAGAAAAAGAGAATCAGAAAGAGAAAAAGAAAGAGAAAGAGAAAAGGAGAAAAAGAGGAAAGAGAATGAGAGGAATGCATACACACCCCTACACCCACATACAGCCATACACACACACATGCACACACACAAACACATATTTGAACATGTACCTCAAACCTAAAACAAAATTATGATCACTACACCTTTAACCACTTTTTACATGTAACTGTAAAACATAAAACATCAAATAATGAAAAGCTCGTCCACTTTTTGTCTTGCCAAAATCTATTCTATGGTATCATACAGTAAATCTCATCAAAAAGTGAATTTAGTCTGACAAGAGGTTTTGTTGTATTTCCTTTGATGTTCTTCAATTTTGATAAAAAATTGTTTTATGGGCAACAAGTTAAAGAGGAATCTTATCAAGGAAAGAGAGATAGTGGAGATGAAAAAAATAATGGAGGAGACAAAGAAAGAAAGGGTAAAAAGGAAAGAGAATGAATGTATGAATGAGAGAAAGGGAGAGAGGTATAGAAATAATGAAGGAGAGATAGAGAATAAAAATAAAAAGAGAGAATGTATGAATGAATATCTATGAGTGAGAATAAATAAACAAGGGAAAGAGAATAGAAGACAGACAGAGAGAGAATGATTGACTAAAAAAAAGAGAAAGAGAAAGAGAGAGGGAGAGTGGGGGGGGGGGGAGAGAGAGAGAGAGAGAGAGAGAGAGAGAGAGAGAGAGAGAGAGAGAGAGAGAGAGAGAGAGAGAGAGAGAGAGAGAGAGAGAGAGAGAAAGAGAGAGAGAGAGAGAGAAAAAGAAAAAGAGAGAGAGAGAGAGAGAGAGAGAGAAAGAGAGAGAGAGAGAGAGATGGAGAATGTTGTAGAAGGTTGCTTAAGAAAGAAGCTTGAGATGGGCCTACTGTAAGTATTTTATGTCCCCAAGGCTTCCCGTGCCTTTCCTGAAACTTTAGGGGGGGCAAATATCAACAAAACTACTCATCACACCAATTTCAATTATTGAATTAAGTTCCTCATGTGATGCCAGTGATAACAGCCATTATCATTTGATGTTTTTGCATCAGTTGTTTCCAAATAAATACAAACAACTAAAAAATATAGCTGAATTAGTGTTTTTACCAACACTGCATCAAAACAATGTTAATGATTTCCCCAAAATATCAATCTGCATAAAATATATGGAATATAAAATCATGAAAAACATTTTTAAGCTTTAACTCACTATCACTCATTAAGGCAATATAAGTTTCATTAGTAAAGCCACTGTCAAAAAAAATTAACGAGTGCATGATAAGGTTACACTAATGCAACCAAGGTAGTTTGAAACAGGTAGCTCCACTCAGTTCTGATGAAATTCCTTGTGGGCAACTTCCGAGCTTGGCCCCACCACCTCTTTGCCTTTATTCATTGCAAATATATATATATATATTTTTTATGGTTTTGTTTTTGTTTATATTTCTACCAATGTTATTACTGAACCATATTCAAAGAAAATACAATGAAAAAATACTTACCATAAGATATTGCACAGATTGACTCGGTCAAATAAAGGGATAGAGCTAATCATGTCATCTTGTTTAGCCCATGAGACTGTGCTATGAGATATCAAATATAGCTAGATATATAATTATCTGTATAAATTACTCAATATTGTTATGATTACCAGAAGTAAAAGGGAAATCCCCCTTTTACTTACGATAACAAAGAGTTCCTAAGCCGTCAAAATATTCTTGGGAAAAAGTCCATTTCATTTTTTGTTCAACAGGCTAAATGG